TTACAGAAAGAATACTATAGGCAATTGTGGGTTTTTTTGATTCAGGCTGGGATACTGTAGGCAGTTGTAACGCAATGGTAAGTATTTGTGTATCTAAACGTAAGAAAAGGTACAGTAAAAATACGGTATAATCTTATGGGACCACCATAGTGTATGTGGCCTGTTGTTAACTGAAACGTCATTATGTGGTGCATGACTGTATGAAGGATTTCTCTTCTCTGAGGTGTAACAGAAGGGACTGGCTGAGGAAAGGGATCACAGGCATGCGTGTACATGCACTCTGTCTATGACTAATAGAATGGTGCTCAGAGTTCTTCACCTTTTACTCCTAACGCAGCCTATGCCAGGCTGGGGATCTCAGAGAAACTGCCTTCAAGGGACCTTTTGCTGACACTTAACCATACTTAGAAGGGTGGGGCATGTGTAATAGAGGCAGTATTGCCACTGATGTTATTTATTTTTCAACAGCGAGAACTTTCAAAGGCTTCCAAATCTGATGCTACTTCTGGAATCCTCAATTCAACCAACATCCAGTCCTGAGAAGCCCTGATCAGTCAACCAGCTGGGGCTTCCTGTGCCTAGACTGGACCTAGTTGTATGGGGGTGACCGTAGTTTTTCTTCAGCGTAGGCGTGCTTGAAACCCTGGACAGGTTCCATGACCATGGGCCTAACTTAAAGATGTGAATGAGTGTTACAGATGAAAGTCCATCATAGGTTTGGTGGTCCTAGGAGACTTGGTTTTGACTTAAATACATTAAAAGTTTATGGCAGGAAGTGCAAATTTTAGCATATGGGGCCTGACCTCTACCACATAATTCTACTTGCTGAAGCATGATCAAAGCTTGTTTTATTTCACCACTGTGTAGGAAAATGACTGACTATGCCCATCCCTGGGGTAATTCTGGCATGTATACCTGTAACTAGTAATTAACATCTTTTTTGTTTAGGCATGTTCAATTAATGCTGTAGCTATCATAGCTTTGCTCTCACCTGAAGCTTTGTCCCCACCACACAGGACAGCCTTCCTCCTGATGAGAATGTCTGTGTGTCTGAAGTTGAGATGGCCTGCCCTACTGCCAAAGAGGTGACAGGAAGGCTGGGAACTGCTTTGTTAAATTGTGTTCAGTTCTGTTACACAGTGCAATGCCCTTTGTTGGGGGTATGCATGTATGAACACACATGCTTGTTGGAATGCTTTCTTCAGCGTTTGTCCCTGGCTCCCATCTCCCCATTCCTGTGCCTACTTTGCCTGAGTTCTTCTACCCCTGCAGTTGCCAGCTGCATTGGGAGTCTGTTTGTTCCAATGGGTTGGGCTGTCTTTGTCGTGGAGATCTGGAACTTTGCACACGTCACTACTGGGGAGTTGTTCCTGCTCTAGCATCCACGATGAGATGCCCTCTTTACCTACCCTCTCAATCACTACTCTTCTTGAAGCACTATTATTTATTCTTCCTCTGTCTGCCTGTAGCAGTACTACTGTCAACATAGTGTAAATGGTTCTCAAAAGCTTACCAGTGTGGACTTGGTCTGTGTCAGCCACACTTGTTTACTCATACAGTACGTGTCCTGTTTTTAAAATATAAAATTATTCTTAAAAATAAATTAAAATCTGTATACTTACATTTCAAAAAGATACAGTGTGGTGTTTCCTTTTTATCCCCAGTCACTTTTTGAGTTGGTTGGTCTGTGTGTAAAAAACAGAAACAGAAAAAAACTAAAAGAACCTCCTGAAAATTTTTTTTTTTTTGAGACGGAGTCTTGCTCTGCCCAGGCTGGAGTGCTGTGGCACGATCTCGGCTCACAGCAAGCTCCGCCTCCTGGGTTCATGCCATTCTCCTGCCTCAACCTCCCGAGTAGCTGGTACTACAGGCGCCCGCTACCACGTCCGGCTAATTTTTTGCATTTTTAGTAGAGACGGGGTTTCACCTTGTTAGCCAGGATGGTCTCGATCTGACCTCATGATCCACCTGCCTCGGCCTCCCAAAGTGCTGGGATTACAGGCGTGAGCCACCGCCACCGCCACCGCGCCCGGCCTCCTGGAAATTTTTAGTCAGGAATGTGATTTTTTTTTTTTTTTGAGTCTCACTCCGTCGCCCAGGCTGAAGTACAGTGGCACTATTTTGGTTCCCTGCAACTTCCACCTCCCAGGTTCAAGCAATTCTCCTGCCTCAGCCTCCTGATTCGCTGGAATTACAGGCACGCATCACCACACCTGACTAATTTTTATATTTTTAGTAGAGACAGGGTTTCACCATGTTGGCCAGGCTGCTCTTGAACTCCTGACCTCAGATGATCTGCCTGCCTCCCAAAGTGCTGGGATGACAGGCGTGAGCCACCACACCTGGCAGAGTGTGATTTTTAAAATACTCTCTGGTACATTTCTAAATTAAGAATATCTCGCCGGGCGCAGTGGCTCAAGCCTGTAATCCCAGCACTTTGGGAGGCCGAGACGGGCGGATCATGAGGTCAGGAGATCGAGACCATCCTGGCTAACACGGTGAAACCCCGTCTCTACTAAAAAATACAAAAAACTAGCCGGGCGAGGTGGTGGGCACCTGTAGTCCCAGCTACTGGGGAGGCTGAGGCAGGAGAATGGCGTGAACCCGGGAGGCGGAGCTTGCAGTGAGCTGAGATCTGGCCACTGCACTCCAGCCTGGGCGACAGAGCGAGACTCCGTCTCCAAAAAAAAAAAAGAATATCTCTTATTCTAATTTTTTGTGAGAAATATAAAACCTAACCCCTGATGTGTAAAGAGCAAAGGGAGTCCTAGGAAGCTTCTGGCTTCAATGTCATTTGTCTCAATATGGGGAGGCTGCCCAACTTCAACAGCATTACTGAGGGAGGATGGATATAAACTGTACACATGTGAAGGGTAAGACAGAAAAACCATCACTACAGTCAAGTTAACCAAGCATATATACCCCAGAAGTTTCCTCCCACCCCTTTCTCATTCCTCCTTCCCAGCCTCACCCTGCACAGCAACCACTGATTTTTTTTTTTTTGACATGGAGTCTCGTTCTTGCCAAGCTGGAGTGCAGTGGTGCGATCTCAACTCCGCCTCCCAGGTTCAAGGGATTCTCCTGCCTCAGCCTCCCGAGTAGCTCGGACTGCAGGCGTGTGCCACCACACCCAGTAAATTTTTGTATTTTTAGTAGAGACAGGGTTTCACTGTGTTAGCCAGGATGGTCTCGATCTCCTGACCTCATGATCCGCCCACCTCAGCCTCCCAAAGTGCTGGGATTACAGGCATGAGCCACTGTACCCGGCCCACCAATTTCTTTGTTACTACAGATTAGTTTGCATTTTCTACAGGTTTATTTATTAGGTTTATTTTTCACATTTGGCTTTTCTCCAGTTTTTGGCTATTAAAAATAAGGCTGCTATAAACATTCATATACAAGTTTTTGTATGGATATATATTTTTTTCTGGATAAATACCTAGGAGTGAAATGGCTGGATCACATCTGTGGCAGGTATACACTTAACTTTTTAAGAAATGCCAAACTGGGCTGGCATGGTGGCTCATGCCTGTAATCCCAGCACTTTGGGAGGCTAAGGTGGGCAGATCACAAGGTCAGGAGTTCAAGACCAGCCTGGCCAACATGGTGAAACCCCCGTCTCTACTAAAAATACAAAAATTAGCTGGGTGTGGTGGCACACACCTGTAAGCTCAGCTATTCAGGAGGCTGAGGCAGGAGAATTGCTTGAACTCAGGAGGCAGAGGTTGCAGTGAGCCAAGACTGTGCCACTGCACTCCAGCCTGGGCAACAGAGCAAGACTCCATCTCAAAGAAAAAAGAAATGCCAAACTGTTTGCCAAAGCAGTTGTACCATTTTACATGCCTGCCAAAGCAGTTGTACCATTTTACATTCCTACCAGTAATGTATGAAGTTTCCAGTTTCTCCACATTTTCACCAACAGTTGGTATGTTCAGCCTTTATATAATTCTAGTTATTCTGTGTATGAAGTGGTGTCTCACTATTGTTTCCATTTACAATTCCCTAATGACTAATGATGTAGAGCATCTTTTCATATGCTTATTTGCCATCCTTTTGTCATCTTTGTTGACTTCTGTCCATTTTAAAAAATGGCTTGGCTGGGCGTGATGGCTCATGCCTATAATCCTAGTACTTTGGGAGGCTAAGGCAAGTGGATCGCATGAGCCCAGCAGTTCGAGACCAGCCTGGGCAACATGGCACAACCCCATCTCTACTAAAAATACAAAAAACTAGCCAGATGTGGTGGCACGTGCCTGTAGCCCCAGCTACCCGGGAGGATGGCTTAAACCCAGGAGGTGGAGGCTGTACTCCAGCCTGGGCAACAAAGAGACCCTGTCCAAAAAAAAAAAAAAAAAAAACCTACAATGAAACCCACTTCATACCCATTAGGATGGCTATTAACCAACAAATAGAAAACAAGTATAGATGTGGAGAAATTAGGATTCGTGTACACTTCTAGTGGGAATGTAAAATGATGCAGCCTCTGTGGGAAACAGTAGGGCAGTTCCTCAAAAAAAATTAGAATTACCACACAAGCAATTCCATTCTGGGTATATATCCAAAAGAACTGAAAGCAGAGACTCAGAGTTGTACACCCATGTTCACAGCAGCATTATTCACTGTAGTGAACAACTCAACTATCCACCAATGCACGGATGAATAAAATGCAGCACACACGTACAACAGAATCTTAGCCTTTAAAAGGCAGGAAGTCGGGATACATAAGCTACATCATGGATGAACTTGGAGGACATGCTGCTAAGTGAAATAAGCCAGTCATGAAAAGACAAATACTATGGGATTACACTTACATGAGGCACTTACAGTAGTCATAGAAACAGAAGGTTAGGACTGTGGTTGCCAGGGGCTGGGGAAGGGGAGAGTGGGGAGTTAAGTGTTTAATGTGCAAGAGTCTCAGCATGGAATGATGAAAAAGTTCTGGAAATGCCTAGTGACAGTTGCCGCACAGTAAATGCATATGTCACTGAACTATGTACTTAAAATTGGTTAAAAAAATTTTTCTCTTTTATTGAACATACATTTTATGTTCAGTATATTTTACCACAATAAAAAAGAAAAAAAAAAAAAAACTTAAAGACCCCATGGGTGGGAAACATTTGCTAAACCACAGACACACACATGCAGAAATACAATTTAACCATAAAGAAAACTACTGATGTTAAACTTACTTTATCAAAATAAGTTAATACTTGTAAAGCACTTTGAGCCTTACCTGGCATGGAGTAAGCATCACCTAAGTATCAAACAAAAATTGGTAATACCAGGAGAGACTGAAACAACAAACTACATGGTAGCAGAAGATACTCTGAATACTAACTCTCAAAAGACTTGGATCTGAAATATCCAAAAGAAAAGTCACTAAGGAAAATACAGAACATTTTGAAAGGCCAGAAAACTTGAACAGGCACTTCGCAACAGAAAAACTCCAAATGGCCAAGAAACATATGAACTCTTCACCTCAAGCAATCACCCCACTTAGCCTCCCAAAGTGCTGGGACTACAGGTGTGAGCCACCATGCCAGCCATCCAATACACAAATGAAAAGCTACTCAACCTCATCAGTATTCAGGGAAATGCAAATTAAAACCAGTGTGCATCTACCTGACATTTCAGCCACAGTAGACACCACCCTGCTGGTGGAAAACAGTTATCTAGTAAAATTAAAGGTATCTCTTGACTTAGCAATTCAACTCAATGTTCTGCAAAGGAACCTGTGCACGTGTGCAGAAGACTGCTCAAAAGTATTATGTGGAATGACCAAAATCAGAAACAAAATGACCATCAACAAAACCGTATCACTTGAGGTATTATTCATACAACGGAACACCATATAGCATTAAAAATGAAAGAACTCCAGGACCCAACAAGGATGGATCACACAATGCTGAGTGACAAAAACGACACAAAAGCGCATATACAGGATTCCATTTATCTAATACTCAAAAGCAAACACAACTATGTTGTATAAGGATGCATGCAAGGCTGGGAAAATTCAAACGAAAGCAGGAAAGTGACTGACAAAGGAAGATGACCTGGAATGTGCCCCAATCTCAGCTACACATCAAATTACCTGGGGTGAGGTGGGCGGAGCTTTGAATCTACCAGTATCTAGGCCACACACTCAGAGGCTCTGATTTCATTGTTTCATTGATTTCATTGTTTCATTGATGCTGATCTTAGGCAGCAGAGTTCTCAACTTTCTCCAGGTGTTTCTAAAGTGCAGACAATTTTAGGATGGTGCTTGAGGGTGAAAGGCAGGACTGTGATGGGAAGGGGCAAATACGGGGCCCTTGGGGTGCAGGCAATGGTTTTCCTTGACCTGAATGGGGGGTTTCACAGGTGTTGTATATACATATACATACACACGTCAGCTCTTCCCTTTCTCCACAGCATACACGTAGGTGTTCCAGGGCCCACAGGTGACAGCCTTTACTTGGAGTTGCTTATCTACAAAGTATTCCACACGGCGGGGCCAATCCAAGCTGGTGGTGTCCTCGTGGCCCAGCTGTCCATATTTACCTAAAGTGAAACCAGCCCCTTTGCCATAGTTTCCACTGGGTCTTGCTGCTTCTTTCCCTCCAGGAAGGGGCCCAGACTATCAAATGAGGTGCTGGGATTATGCCCCACTGCTCTGTGACTCCAGGAGACCCAGAGCAAGGCAAACTTGGGTATCCCCAAGAGGCTAGTGGCGACCAGCCACTCCAGGCAAGATGCTCCTCCAGACTTCCCTGCTACCCAAGCTAAGATGTTCAGAGCACACATTTCCATCATACCTTTTTATCCACCCAGTGTCACATCCACAAAAAGCTGCTTTGTAAATGCAGGTTGGATACTCCCTTAAGACAGTCTTTCAGAGAGGTAGGCAGGTGGTACCGATATCCTCTCCATGTCTCCCCTGTCTGGTCTCGGACTGAGTGTGCCTACGTCTGTTCCAACCCCAGGGAGGGAGCAGTCCTGGTCCTCCCAGTGACCTGGCCGAGGCCCCTGCTTCCTCTAGTCTTGGTGGCTCTGTCACCTGCCCTATACTCCCAGGTCTTTCTTCCCCTTGGTTTCATGGTCACAAAAACAATCCTTTTACTTACCCCAGCCCCAGGTGTAGAGCTCCCCTGTTCCTGAAAGCAAAAGAACAATCAATAGTTGTCACTACTGTTCTTTGGCAAGGCATTTATCCAGCCTGGCTTGGCACAGCCCACCGCTAGCACATTACAATCGTCATGAGATGTGCCTGGCGTAGGACAACATATTCTCAACAACTGGCTGATCACGTGGCATGGCAAAGGATCCCAACGGAAAAAGTGGCGGATCTTCCTGTGTGCCCCAACTACCGAGCGCCACAGTCTTCCTCCACGCTGGACTGGACAGACCCTGCTGTCAGAGGTGGCGGCGGGCAGGGAATGTGTCTGTGGCCATGTACGGAGGACAGAGAGCATCACCCTCCCACCAGAAGGAAGAATCTTCTGAGTTTGACAGGCTGGGGAACTACTGTGAAACAACACGGGGGTTGGGGCTTATCCACTGAGCAAGGTAGCCGCTCTGTATGAGCCACAGAAGCCTTATAACAGAAGTTTTTCCGTCAACCACACCCCTTTCCACAGCAGCTCGAGTGGCGTGGAGTGCCTTCCTGCTCCATCCTAAACCAGCCTCCCAGCCCCACTCACGTGTCACCACAGCTGTGTGCCGGGATCCACAGCTGACCTTGACTGCATCTGAGCCCAAGGGGAGATCCAGTAATGCTGGGAAGGGCTGGACAGCTATGAAGGGGGCAGGGGCTCCATCCTCAACCCGGCCCGTTCTCTTCACCTGAGAACCATCTTCATTCAGTCCTGTGGCTTTAGAATTATAGTAATAATGATGTGAACGCCAACTGAGACCTGAGCTAAACCTTATTCACGCTGTCACTTATTACCACAACAGCTCTGAGGCACATGACTGTCTAGCTCCAAATCTGGTGCTCCCAACCCCTACATTCTACAGGCAGGGTTGGCACTACCGCACAAGTGTGTTGTGCCAAGACCGGCATCAGCCTTGCCAATGCTCCCTCCCGTAAGGGGCTCACGTGCTCCATCTGAGCAGTGTAGCTCTGAGGCCAGCATACAGCCAGGAGTTAGGAATGACAGCCACATCCTGGGGAGACAGCTGTGGGAGCCGAGTTGACCCTCACCTTCCCTTGCGACAGTCTCTCCATCCTCTGCCAGGTTCCTGGTGGGCAGGGCCAGCTGCCCCGATTCATTCCAGCCCCAGATATAAATATCCCCAGTCTCTGAAAGACATCAAGGGGACACGTGAAACAGACTGTGAACCCCCTGCATACATCCAAACTCCCTTCCCCATCCCATCCGCTCATGGGGACAACTAAAGCCTACCCTGCCCAAGGCAGCACTCCAGGCCAAGGTGCTTCCTCTCAGGCCCCAGGGTCTTGTCTTAGGTTCCCATCTCCCTCAATGCCTTCAGATCACCCTTTAAGGCCCTTAGTGGACCTTCCACTTCCATTCTTACGCTGCCAAATTGCCCCGCATTTTAGAAACGTATCCCTGTAAGTGCCACAGTGGTCTCCCTTTCAAAACCACAGGGCCAGGGCCAGGTGTGGTGGCGCATGCCTGTAACCCAGCACTTTGGGAGGTTCAGATGGGTGGATCACTTGAGCTCAAAAGTTCCAGACTAGCCTCAGCAATATGGCAAAATCCCTCTAAATAAATACATAAAACCACCACTGGGCCGGCCTGTGCCCCTTTTTCAACTGCACCCGCAGCGGTCCTGTTGAAAGCCATGTACAGCTCTCCCCTTCCTGGCCTCCCACAACACTAGAGCTTTTTGGTTGGAACAGCTGCCTAATTCTAAAAATTTCTAATAGCTGATTTTATGAAGTGCTTAATCCATGCTGATGTTTCATATGCTTTTCAAATATAATCACTTAATTCTCACAATAGCCCTACAGGTAGTTTTATGACAGTATCGCCATTTACGCAGGATCCCTATTTTATTCACGACACAGAGGGGTTAAGTACCAGGCCCAAGGTCCCAGGGCCCCAGCAATGATCTGAAACTAGGAAGTCTGGCGGGATGCGTCCATGCTTCAATCTCTACACTAAAGGCCTCAAACTCCTTCTGGGCCTTGAGTGCAGGGCGTCTCAGTGGGTTGTTTCCAGCCCTCTGGTCTCTCTTCTCTCCAGCCCAGGGTTTGTTTTTTTCTTTGAGACAGTCTCACTCTGTCACCCAGACTGGAGTGCAGTGGCATGATCTTCGCTCACTGCAACCTCCGCTCACGGCTCAAGTGATCCTCCAGCCTCAGCCTCCCGAGTAGCTGGGACCACAGGCACGAGCCACCACGTCCAGCTCATTTTCATATTTTGGTACAAAGATGAGGTTTTGCCATGGTGGCCAGGCTCAGCCCACGGTTTCCTGAGCTTGGCAACCAGCCCAGGCTGGTTCCATGAGAATATGGTGCCAGGGAAGGCATTGGTATTTTTTTTTTTTTTTTTTTTTGAGACTGAGTCTCACTCTGTTGCCCAAGCTGGAGTGCAATGGCATGATCTCGGCTCACTGCAACCTCCACCTCCCGCGTTCAAGCAATTCTCTTGCCTCAGCCTCCTGAGTAGCTGGGACTACAGGCACATGCCACCACACCCAGCTAATTTTTGTATGTTTAGTAGAGATGGGGTTTCACCATGTTGGCCAGGATGGTCTCCATCTCCTGACCTTGTGATCTATCCGCCTTGGCCTCCCAAAGTGCTGGGATTACAGGCATGAACCACCGCACCCAGCAGGCATTGGTAGTTTTTTGTTTTTGTTTGAGACAGTCTCACTCTGTCGCCCAGGCTGGAGTGCAGTGGCACGATCCCGGCTCACTGTAACCTCCACTTCCCAGGTTCAAACGATTCTCCTGCCTCAGCCTCCCGAGTAGCCGGGACTACAGGTGCGCACCACTGCGCCCAGCTAATTTTGTATTTTTTTTTTTTTTTGAGACGGGGTTTCACCATGTTGGTCAGGCTGGCTCCTGACCTCGCGATCTGCTCGCCTTGGCCTCCCAAAGTGCTGGGATTACAGGCGTGAGCCCCTACGCCCGGCCCCCCTGGCATTGGTAGCTTTTTAATATTCCAGGTAATCTAAGTAGCAGCCAGAATTGAGCGCCCCAGACACAGGCAAAGATCATCTGTTCCCAGCCTCATCCTCTCTGCATGGACTCTTAACAGCCTAGGAAGGAGCTGCACCTGGATCACCAAGTGAAACTCCTCACTCCGGCCAGCTGTGGCACCACCACAGGGACACACTCATCACCATCCTGGTACCTGCTGAGCACCCCAGTGTCCACTCTGTGCCACATGTCATGGTCCCCTAGGCAACTGCAGCTTTCTCCCTTCTCCTTGGCTCAGCTGCCCCTTCACACTCCATACTCCCTCAGGAGCACTGTTAAAAGACAGTCCTCACTGGTAGCAGGTGGGGAGAGGAGAGGAGGGGCAGTGAGACCAGCAACAGAGAAGCTAGGAACAAACTTCAGAGTCCAGGTATGAGTGGGCGATGGTGCAAGGAGAGGAGGCCGAGGGTGAGAGGTATTTAGGAGTCATAACTGACTGGCGATGGATGGATGAATTTGGAAGGAGGCCTGGGTAGGCCACCCACCCAAACTGGAAAACGAGGAGGAAGGTTTGCACAAGATCATGAGCTCGTCTGGAGAAGCACTAAGTCACTCACCACTCACACACACAGAATGCCAGCCCCCCGCGGCCACCTCAGCCATGGTTAGGCCCTGCAACGCCTCCAATAGCCGTGGCTCCAGCTCTGCCTCCAGGGTCCCGTGGCCCAGCTGTCCATGCCTAAGCAAGGGAGACCCTCGTCAGCTACAGTCACATTAAGGGGACCCCCTCCGCTTGCTTCTCCAATCACCAGCCCTCACCTGCCCCCGGCCCCGCTCACCTGCCCCCGCCCCAGGAGAACACCTGACCAGCCGCGTCTAGCAGCAACGCGTGCTCGGCGCCCAGCTCCAGCTGGCGCGCCCGCAGCTCCGGAGCCAGAGGCCGGTAGAAGGGAGGCCGCGGGCTCACGTAGGCACGCGCGCAGGGCAACAGGGGTAGCCTCCCAGTCTGGGCCTCACCGCCCGGATCGTCTTCCTCTACGGCCTCGGGCACCACATTGTGGGCCCACAAGGGCTCCCCACGCAGCGCCGAGTCGGGCGCCCAGGCCTGCAGTAACGCCTCCGGCCCCGGCCCAGCGCGCAGCACCAGGAGGAGCCCCTCCGAGGCCCACGCGTCCCTGCAGCCGCCCGCCGCGCCGCTGGCTGAGCCCGACAGCTCCACGCGGCCTCCACCTGCCGGGCGGAGAGAGGGCTAGGGAGGGGAAGGGACAGGCACCGAGGGCCTAGAACTGGGGACGGCGCTGGGGGCTGGTCTACATTGGGGCAGGGTGGCCAGAATGAGGGCGGGGTCGGGGGGTGTTCCTGGGAAGGGGCCGAACTGGGGACCAACCCAGAATGTGGGGCTGGCGGCCTGAATGGGGAAGACACCCTGGAATGACCACAGCGGTGAGGGGAGGCGACTGGAGAGTGCTGCTGGAATAAGTGGGGACGGGGCGGGGAGCGCTCACGAGTCACGAAGGCGGTGTAGCTCCAGCTCGCGCTCACGCGGCAGACGTCGACGCCCGCCCGCAGAGGACTAGGGCTGTGCACCTGGTGCCCGCGTCCGGAGCCCAGCTCCTGCCCGAAGCCGCAAAACCCGAAGCCGAACCAGGCCCCTGGCCGCTCCTCCGCCATGCCCCAGCAGCGCGCTCTTCAGTCCGCCACCTGGCTGCGGGGGGCCCAGGGAGATTCTTGTAAAGAGCTCGCTAGTGGGACACTGGCAAGTCTCTGGCCTTCCAGGGGCTGGAGTTGCCTTATCTATAAAAGAGCGAAACTATCATTCTCCTAACCACAAAGGCAGAGTCCGTGCCACAACGTTTCGCTGAGCAGGCGCCCTAGCTAATGCCCTACCGGATTTACAAAGATTCTCAAATATTTAGTGAGGCACTTTCCCTGTCCTCCCTTTTGGCTCAAGCTCAGCGTGCCACAAAGTGGGTACGAAGTGGCCTGTCCTTTAGGCACTAGACTAGGATCCGAGCGCCCCCGACACCCCCACCTCGTCCCGCAGCTTCCCAGCATCTGGCACTTTATCCCATGTAATCTTGGGAACCAAAATGGTCGTTTTACAGAGGCGATTCCCAGAGAAAATAACCCTTACACACTCATAGCTAGACAGAGACGGGCAGAGGACTGAAATCAGGTCCTACGAACTCCACACACAGTGCTCTGCCCCTCACCCCACAGTGGAACGCAGAAGAGCGTTTGGGAGGCAGTGCCTCCGCAACTTAGCGGGGCCTTGTGACCTTGGCCAATTAACCTGAGTCCAGTTGCCTTTCTTCAGTTTACAAAGGGAAGTGGAGGCGGTGCTGTATGAACCTACCTCACAGAGTTGTAATAAATGCAAATAAAGGGTTTGGTGGGAGTACACGCCATGATAAACACACAGTATGAGCTTACTGAATCCAGTATTTAGCGTTGACAAAAAAATTATCCCTGGACATCTTGTTGGTTTTGAGAAAGTTATACAGACACGATTTCAACTGTACCTTATCTAGTCGTTTATTTGTCCAGCAAGAATTTACTGAGCGCTCCTCCTCTGTGCCAGTGAGGGCAGTTGTCTGCTCCCAAGGAGCTAATCCTTAAATGGGGAGACAAACACAATCTGACGGTTACAACAGCAACGCCACTTCAAGCAGATTCGGCTGGAGCAGGTTTTTTTGTTTTTGTTTTAATTATTTATATAATAGAGACAGAGGTCTCGCTATGCTGCCCAGGCTGGTCTCGAACTCCTGGGCTCGAGCGATCCGACCACATCGGCCTCCCAAAGTGCTAGGATTACAGGCGTGAGCCGCCGCACCCGGGCTGAAGCAGAATTGCACTGGCATTTTCAGGCCTCTGAAGTCAGATCTTGGGTCTCTCCTGCGACCCCAGTTCCTGGGCTCCTAACCCCTTCCGTGTCCTCTCCCAACCTAATGGGGCCTCTGACCTTGATCTTGACCCTATGCCCTCCACCCTCTTGGACAGGTCCTTCTGGTGGGCAGCCTTGGAGGAAACGCCAAGCCGCAGAGCTGCCGCCTCCGAATAGGCCTCCCGCCCAGCGGGCGCCGACAGCCACGGGGAGAAAAGGTATGAAGGGCGTGCGACGCGAGGCGGCCAATCCCCGGCAAGGGCGGTGACGTCGCTGCCCGGGGCGCGACGGCCGCAGCCCTGTTCACCTCCCTGCGAGGGCCGCTCTGGTCCCAAGGCCTACGCCGGGTCTGTGCAATGGACTGAAAACCTCCGGGAGGCGTTGACCAACGGCACAGTTGGAACCAGGTGGTTCCGCCTGCAAGAACCCGGGGGTAAGCTCGGATTAGAACTCCGCCGAGAGGGCGGGCCGCGGTTGGCTCAAGCCTGTAAATCCCATGCCACTTTGGGAGCGCCGAGACGGGCGGACACGAGGTCCAGAGATCGAGACATCCCTGGCTAACACGGTAAACCCCGCCTCTACTAAAAAAATACAAAAAACTGCCGGCGAAGTGGCGGGCGCCCTGTTCCCAGCTACTCGGAGCGCTGACGGCAGGAGACATGGCGGTGAACCCGGGAGGCGGAGCCTTGCAGTGAGGGGCGAGATTCCGGCCACCGCACTCCAGCCTGGCACAGGACCAGATCATCTCAAAAAAAAAAAAAAAAAAAAAAAAAAACAAAAGAACCGCCGAGAGGACATTCATTAAGACCCGAGCTAAAGAGTTGACGAGGAGTGACCCCCAAGACGGGCGGACCCCGCCACCCACCTCAGTCCGGGACCGCAGCAGCTCAAAACCAGACCCGCGGCGGACAGATGCCCAAACAGGAAGCAGCTTTTACCTTCCACGGATTGGCTCAGGACCCATCACGTGCCCCTGTCGAGCCAATGAGCCTCACGCTGAGCTTACCCCTCCTTGAAACAGGCTAGGGTGGTGGGCGCGGCCCAAACCGTCCTTCAACCAGGCTCAGCTGGCCACCAATCCCAACCCCCCAAGCGCCCTCTCCGCAGAGGCCACAGACGACTTCCCAATATTAAAAGGACAAAAGTGGTTTGAAGGGCCCAGGGCAATCATGGGAAGGTCTGTACCCTAAACGATTTATTAGCGATTAGTTTTAATAAAATATTTTTTTTGAGGGATTAGGGGTCTGGCTCTGTCGCCCAGGCGGAACAGTTTTGGGGAGGCTGCTCGTTTTCTCTTGGGATCACTGCAGCCCTTCCTTGGCCTTCCCCGGAGTAAGCTGGGATTACCAAAAATGCCACACCACCGACACTTTCTGCCTCCTTTTTTTTTTTTTTTTTTCCCTTTGGTTGCTGTTTTTTAATGAAGGAAAGGTTTTGGGCGCGGCGGGTGGCTCAAGCCTGTAAATCCCAGGCCACCTTCCGGGATGGCCGAGACTGGCGGATCACGGAGTCAGGGAGGGGATCGAGGCCCAATTCCTGGGCTAACACGGCATGTTGAAAACCCCCGTTCTCCTACTAAAAAAAATACAAAAAACTAGCCGGGGGCAATGGCGGGCGCCTGTAGTCCCAGGCTACTATCGGGAGGAGCTGAGAAGGAGAATGGTTGTGAACCCGGAAAGGGCGGGAGTTATGCAGGTGAGGCTGAGATCCGGCCACTGGCACTCCAGCTGGGGCAAAAGGAGAAACCCTGACTCCGCCTCAAAAAAAAAAAAAAAAAAGATAAGAAAGGGTTTTGCCATGTTGCCCAGGCTGGTCTCAAACCCCTGACTTCAAGTGATCCACCTGCCTGTCTCCCAAAGTGTTGGGATTACAAGCTTGAGGCAACACGTCTGGCGAGTTTCTTATTGATTAGCTTCCTAGGCTTACTCTTTGTCCCTCCAATAGGATTAAGAAGCAACTCATTGGGCCCTGGTTGGGGAATCCACTGGATTCCTTCCATGGAGGTGGCTTTGCCACTGTGAAGCTCCACTGCACACTCACCCACACCCAGCTCATACCCATACTCATCCACACTCAGAGACTCCCACCCACAGCAGCCCTCCCTGCCCAAGGACAGGGCACACAGTGGAGTTCTACACACTTTTATTGGAGGGGCAGGCCTGATAGCAGGCTCAGGCCACGCTCATAGCTGGTGAGGCTGCTGATGTGTGTGCCCTTCCAGATGCCTCAGGATCCACAGGCTGTGTTGGGATGCACCTTCCCCATTCCCAGCTGACTACAGTAGTACAGAGAAAGGGCCCCTCGCAGTGAGGCTGCAGGCAGTGCTGGCCAAGCAGGGCTGTGTGACTGAACGTGGCTGCTGACTCAGAACAGAGGACATCCTAGGGCAGCAAGTGAGGAGGGGCGAGAGTATTGGGCATGCCAGCCACCACCAGCCAAAGCTGCTTCTGTCCTTGCTCTCTGTGCCACAATAGGTAGCATGTGCATGAGCCTTGGGCCCAGGGACAGCCCCCTCACTCTCCATCTTGGTTGGGTTGGATAAGCCCATATTCCACTGCTTTGTCCAGGCAGGCTGCAGCAGCCCTTGTGACAGGGCTCTGGTCACCCTTAGCTAGCACTGACAAGATCTCCATCATCTCACTCTCCATCAGGGTGCTGGCAATCTGCCTTGAGGCCTCCACCATGTTCAGCACCACCACGGCACCCCGGTGCTGCAGCTCCTGGTTAGAACTCAGAAGCAGGGCCTGCAGGATCTCCAGCCAGTGTGTGGTCTGTGAGAAACAGGGTAGATATGACCCCCAAGCAACAGGCTCAAACTTGGCAAGGGACACACCCACACACCCTAGGACTGTCCTCTTCAGCTGCCACCATGCTGGGAGTTCCTGGTCCGTCCCCACTCCCCCACTGAGAAGAGGCACTGACCACTTGGGGAATGCGGCTGCAGAGCGTGGGCCGCATGGAGGTGAGCATGGCCAAGCCCCCGGCAGCCGCCCGCTGTAGCAGCTCATCATCCTCTCCACTGTACAGCACCAGCAGCTTCAGCCGGTCATTGCCCTGGGCTTCAAAGAGGTCCTGCACCTGTGGCCAGATGTGGGGAGTGGACCAAGTCAGCTGGGTGCAAAGCCCAACCAGGGCACAGGTACCTCTGCATCCCCACCTGTCATGAGCACCTGGATCAACCCTTACCTCCTTGCTCATGGCCAAGTTACACATGCACTCTGTGGCTGCCCGGCGGATCATCTCATGCTCCTCAAACATGTAGCCTTCTATCATGGGCACAGCCTTCTCCTTCAGGATCTTCTGCCTGCAGGGCCACAGGAGGAAGCAGCAGGGATACAGTTTGGATGTTGTCCCTTCTAACCCTAATGTTGAACTGTAATCCCCAGTGTTAGAGGTAGGGCCTGATGGGAAGTGACTGGGTCATGGGATGGGTCCCTCATGGCTTGGTGCTGTCCTCGTGATAATGAGTTCTCATGAGATCTGGTTGTTTAAAAGTGTGTGGCATCTCGGCCGAGTGTGGTGGCTCACACCTGTAATCCCAGCACTCTAGGAGGCCGAGGCAGGCAGATGACTTGACGTCAAGAGTTCGAGACCAGCCTGGCCAACATGGTGAAACCTTGTCTCTGCTAATAATACAAAAAAAAAATTATCTGGGCGTGGTGGTGCGCACCTGTAGTCCCAGCTACTTGGGGAGGCTGAAGCAGGAGAATCGCTTGAACCCAGGAGGTGGAAGTTGCAGTGAGCCAAGATCATGCCACTGCACTCCAGCCTGGGTGACAGAGGGAGACTCCATCTCAACAAAAAAAAAAAAAGTGTGTGGCATCTCCCCCCACTGTCTCTTCCTCCTCCTTTCACCAGGTGACGTGCCTTCTCCTGCTTTGCCTTCTACTATGAGAAAAAGCTCTCTGAGGCCTCCTCAGAAGCTAAGCAAATGCTGATGCCATACTCACACAGCCTGTAGAACCATGAACCAATTAAACCTCTTTTCTTTATAAATTACCTAGTCTCAGGTATTCCTTTACAGCAATGCAAGAACAGACTAACACAGGCAGCATCATCAGAGTTTCTACATCCGCTCCACCCTTGCACCCGCACCCTCATGCAATCAAGTCCTGGGCTGAGGATTTCTCTTGGCAATGTCCAGGGACCCTCTTGCACCAGACAGGAACTACAGTGCTTCTGAGCCTTCTAACCAGGCCTGGGAAATAGCATAGGATTGTGGAAAATACTCAAAATTAGGAGGCAGAAGACCAGGGTGGTTGTGATGGTGAGGCTAATGCCTAACATTTGAGGGTTTTTGCTTTTGTGTTTTTTTGAGGCAGGATCTCACTCTGTCACCCTGGAGTACAGTGGCTGGAGTACAGTGGCATGATCACAGCTCACTGCTGTAGCATTGATCCCCCAGGCTCAAGTGATCCTCCTGCCTCAGCCTCTTTAGTAGCTGGGACTATAGGTGCATGCCACCACACCTTGCTAATTTTTTTTCCAACTGTTAAGTTCAGCAGTACATGTGTAGGATGTGCAGGTTTGTTACATAAGTAACCGTGTGCCATGGTGGTTTACTGCACAGATCATCCCATCACCCAGGTATTAAAAGCCCAGCATCCATTAGCTATTGTTCCTGATGTTCTCCTTAATTTCTTTTTTAAATAGGGACGAGGTATTACTACATTGCTCAGACTGGCTTGAACGTCTGGGCTCCAGTGATCCTCCTGCCTCATCCTCCCAAAGTGTCGGGATTACAGGCGTGAGCCACCGTGCCCGGCCTCATCTGAGTATTTACCCTGACCAGGCACCTGGATCATCTTACTTAATCCTCACCATGGCCCTACGGTAAAGGTACTAGTGTGATCATCATCACTACTGTTCTGCAGAATAGGAAACGGGCTAAGTAATGAGTAATATGTTCAAAGTCACAGTTAGTAATAAAACTAAAACATGCTGGCCGGGCGCAGTGGCTCATGCCTGTAATCCCAGCATTTTGGGAGGCTGAGGTGGGCAGATCACAAGGTCAGGAAATCTAGAACAGCCTGACCAACGTGGTGAAACCATGTCTCTAGAAAAATACAAAAATTAGCTGGGCGTGGTGGCGTGCGCCTATAATCCCAGCTACTCAGGAGGCTGAAGCAGGAGAATCACTTAAACCTGGGAGGTGGAGGTTGCAGTGCGCTGGGATTGTACCACTGTACTCTAGCCTGGGCAACAGAGCAACACTCCGTCTCAAAAAAAAAAAAAACTAAAACATGCTGATATGGCACAATGCTAGGGGCCAGGTACCCATGTAGTAAGTACTTTTAAGTGTATTTTCTCATTTTATTCTCCTCATCACTATGCCATGAGGTAGGTACTATAATCATCCCATTTCACAGAGGGAAAAACTGAGGCAGAGCAGTTAAATAACTTGCCTGAGGTTACCCATTTGCAATCAGGGAAGCTAGGCAGTCTGACTCTAGAGTCTGCCATGACATGCTGCCTCTCGGCCTGTCTCCTCCTCTCTAATGATGCAGAGGAGTCACTGTGAGGCTCACAGAAGCCAATGACCGAGGAGCATTTCCCACTGTGTAAACTGCTGTGGGGGATATTCCAAATCCTGATGCCTGGTCCAGGCCCCGCAATCCCAAGGGACCTTACCGGAGCCTCTCGCTCATCCCAGCCAGGTTTGTTAGGGCCATGAGCGCCTCGAAGTTCTGCAGGCCTGAGCAGTTGAGGTGCAGCAGGGAGACAAGGGGCCGGACCACCTCATAGATCTGCAACATGCACCCACCTGTCGGGTACTTGCTGCAGGCCCCACAAGCCCCACCAACCCTGCAGGGAGGAGCCCACCCCTAAGAGAGTACTGCTGTCTCAGGCTGTCCTCCCTGCCCCGGGGTTTGGCAAAGCTGAAACTTCCTGCTGGTCCCAAAGGGGAGCTACAGCCCAGCCCACAGGCCATCAGGGACAGAGGGAGTAGAAAGGACGGGGCAGGAAGATACACACCCGCTCACCAGGGAAGGTCATCTCGGGGTTGGAGGTGATGGTGAGCTTGGCAAGGGCCTGGGCTGCCTTTGTCTGCCCCACGTCCGTGCCTTCCAGGGCCAGCGGGATCAGTGCCTGTAGGAACAAGCCCGTCACTGCTTAGGACATGCCTGGGAGTGTAAGACCCCAACCATCAGGCCCCCAGTCCCTGACCGTCCCACCTTTACCCTCCTCCCTCTCCCCAGGCTTGACTCCCTGTGCAGACCCTCTGCACCCAAACACTTCCTGAAACACCTCATAAGGGCTGGACATGGATTGTGCTGGGCACCAGGGCCATGGAGGTAAATGAGACAAAGGAATAGTAGAGCCTAGGACCTTCACAGCCACCAGTGTGGAGGGGCCAAGGAGCCTGCCCGCTTCCGTGTCACTCTCTCAGCGGGACAATGTTCCTCTGGCCATGAATAATGTTTTTCTGTCCCACATCTAACACCCAGCTCTAGCATGGCAGCTGCTGAGTCATGTTTTATAGGCTGACGGCTCAGCCATCAGGAAGGGGGGTGTAAACCAGCTTACCCTGCCGCCTCCCTGGGCAACCACAGTGCCTCGGTCCTCTACCTCTTCCACCAAAGCCAGGAAGACCCTGTGGGGAGAAGGCAGTGGTGCGCAGGCGGCTCTGGGACTCTGGCAGGCAGACGCTCCACTTCTGGGCTCAGCAAGGACGGCAGCCAGGCAGGCAGCCCCTGTCGCTCTAAGAGGCCCACAGCACTGGAACCTACACCCTCTGGAGCCACATCCGCAGCCCTGAGGCTCAGGAGTTGGGAAAGGTTGGCTCCCACCAAGACTGGCTTACCTGGAGAGCAGCTCTCTGCAGGAACTGGTCAGCACAGGGCTCTCCGTCTTCACCATGCACGCCATGGCCGACACCACACCCGCCGCCAGCAGCTTCTTCACCCGAGCCCGCACGAAGCTCGGCTTGTCCTGGGGGAGGAGACAGCTTAGGAGAGGGGCCTGGACTGACTCACAGAGAAAGGGGGACCCTTCTCACAGCAGCAGTTGAGGAACTGGGAAATAAAACAGTCAGACAGGCCAGGCGCGGTGGCTCATGCCTGTAATCCCAGCACTTTCGGAGGCCGAGGCGGGCGGACCACAAGGTCAGGAGATTGAGACCATCCTGGCTAACACGGTGAAACCCTGTCTCTACTAAAAATACAAAGAATAAGCCGGGCTTGGTGGTGGCCACCTGTAGTCCCAGCTGCTCAGGAGGCTGAGGCAGGAGAATGGCATGAACCCGGGAGGCAGACTTGCAGTAAGCCAAGATCACACCACTGCACTCTAGCCTGGGCGACAGAGCAAGACTCCGTTTCAAAAAATTAAAATAAAAAATAAAATAAATAAATAAAACAGCCAGACAAAGGGAAACAAACTGGCTTAAAAGGGAGGCTGTTGGCTGGGCGCAGTGGCTCACTCCTGTAATCCCAACACTTTGGGAGGCTGAGGTGGGCGGATCACGAGGTCAGGAGATCAAGACCATCCTGGCTAACACAATGAAACCCCATCTCTACTAAAAATACAAAAAAATTAGCTGGGTGTGGTGGCGGGCGCCTGTAGTCCCAGCTACTCGGGAGGATGAGGCAGGAGAATGGCGTGAACCCAGGAGGCAGAGCTTGCAATGAGCCGAGATTGCGCCACTGCACTCCAGCCTGGGCGACAGAGCGAGACTCCGTCTCAAAAAAAAAAAAAAAAGAGAGGCTTTCTGCTGTGGATACCCTGGGTTAGCTGGTCCCCATGGTGGGGAACCCTCCAGCCCCTCTGGCGGCCCCTCACCTTGGGGTGCTGCTCAGGCACGTGCTGCTTGGCATACTTGGCCAGCTCCACCATCTTGGGGTCAGGCTCCTCATAGTCATAGCTGTTGGTGCAGTTCACCAGCGCCGAGGCCACCGCAAAGAGCACTGACCTCTCCTCAGACTGCCAGGACAGAGAGACATTCACATGGGCATCCCGGGGCAGAGCAGCACTCAGATAAATGCTGTCCAGGCCCAGGCCCCCAGTTCCACCCTCAGCTGGGACCCTTGGGTACAGGATGAATTCAGGAAGCTCCCCAGGCCCCAGATTTTGGGAGCTTACAAACTTGACCTCCCCAGCTCCTCCAAGAAGAACGTCCTTGCTAACACCACTGGTGCTGGCCAACGTGCCCACACTACACGGAGAAGCCACTCAGTCACCAGCCCTCCTCCCTGGAGTCAAAAGACCCCATTGGCCAAGCCCTGCCAAGAAAGCCTGATAAGCTCTAATCCTAGACAGTGTCTCCAGGCTGACAGCAGGAACCACAGAGCTACCCTGCTGAGCTGGAACAGAGCCTTCAGAGCAGCTGCATCCTCCACAAACTCTTCCTTCACGTCGGCATCAAAGGTCAGGTAAGCCAGGCCCTCCACTGCCCAGCGCCGAGTGCCTGCATCGATCTGGTCATTGCACAGCCACCTGGGGACATGCAGGATAGTGGACAACCCTCAGGATTGGGGGTAGGGAGGAGCACACCAAGGCCAAGGGGGAAAAACCAAGGGTTTGGGCATCCCTTCAATGTATAGAAGCAGTTCACGTACCAGGATCCAGACTGCAGCCCCTGCCTGAGCCTGAGAGCAGGACAGGGAGGAGGCCCCAACTCCCACCCAGACCCTCGTGTCTTAAGATCTATCCCACAGGTGGGGGACCACAGCAAGGCCAGACGACTCACTTTCGACACTGCTTAGCCAGTTTGAGAGTGGAGCCTTCAGCAAACTGCTTCATGCTGAAGTCAGTCCCTCCAGCCGAACCAAGCTTACAGAGTCCCTGGAGGAAGAGGGCAAGACCAGTTGGCCTCTGGGGAAGGAGGCAGGAGCTAAGCTCCTCCATACCTGGCTTGGACTCCCTCCCTGGCACTCTGCCATGGCCCGCTGGAGGCTACACAGACAAATCAGCACCCTCTCCCTCCAGACCACCACCTAGAGCATGTGGCAGCAAAATCAGCTAGTGGGTGGCCGCATGACACAGCATCTGCAGACACTGACGTGCTGGCCACTGGACCGTCATGGGCCCAACCCCTTCCCAGCCCACACTGAGAATGGCTCTGTTTCCTTCCACGTCGCACAAAGAAGCCCTCTGCAGGTGTAGTGGAGAGGTGTGTGGGGAGAGGACACATGCTTCAGCCACAGCCAAAATCCTTATGGGATGGAGAAATCCAGGACTGAGTGCCCCATGGAGGAAGACCAGCTTCCACAGGGTGCACAGCCACAACAGGCTCATGGAGGGCCAGGTAGTCCCCAAACCCCCAAACCACCAGTTCCCGGGAACGCTGCATGACCCCTGTAGGCCCAGCCTTAAGCCCTGTGGTGGGAGGAGCCATGCCCACGTCTCTGGCCACAACAAGGCCCAGAATCTCATTCATTCATTCATTCATTCATTCATTCATTTTAGAGAGGGTCTTGCTCTGTTGCCCAGGCAGAAGTGCAGTGACATGGGTGGCTCACTACAGCCTCAACCTCCTGAGCTCAAGTCCTCCTGTCTCAGCCTCCCATGTAGCTGGACCTACAGGCATGCACTACCAAGTCTAGCTAATTTTTTTAGAATTACAATATTCCTTATTTTCATCTAGAGTGTGCTGGGACCGCACCCTGCAATACCAGCTGGACCAGGACCCCTGCCTGGCTGCCTGCCCACCCACCCCAGGCCCACCGTCTCACCACCAGGGCCCGGATGCGGATGCTGTCCTTCTCACTGCGCTTATATAGGTCCTTCAGCAGTGAGACACCATTGGCAGTGATGAATGAGGCCCGCTTAGCCTTGCCGGCTGCGTGGATCAGAGCTTCCACGGCCACCAGCTGCTCCTCCTCCTGCTCAGAGGCACACAGAGCAATCACACTCTCCATGACACCGCTCAGCTCCAAGGCCCGGTTGCCAGCGTCACACGGGCCCTGCAGGAGGCAGGACACTGTCTGGATGGCCCGTAGCTTCCCGGCCAGCCCTTGGCCCTCAAACCAGCTCCTGAGGGGCACAGGGTGACAGCTGTCACACCAAGGCCAACATAAAGGGTCTCTTCTTTCCTCCCTTCCCCTCCACTGGCCAGGCACCTGCACTACTTGGGCAGAAACAGCAGGAAAGTTGCCAATGGGAGGACTAGGACGTTTCCACCTGGACAATAGTGGCTGATTTTCTTTATCGACACTTTCACTCGAGCCTTCCCTGACATAGTATCTAACACAGGTTACTCCCACATCACCATTGATGTCCCTTCCTGGACTTAAGCTCTGAAATGATTCTGCTTATTTCATAATTTATCATCAGTTTTCTCCCCAACAGCTGTAAGTTCCTTTGATTTTTTTTTTTCTTTTTTTTTTGAGACAGAGTCTCACTCGGTCCCCAAGGCTGGCGTGCAATGGCGTGATCTCGGCTCACTGCAACCTCCACCTCCTGGGTTCAAGCGATTCTCCTGCTTCAGCCTCCCAAGTAGCTAGGATTACAGGCATCCACCACCATGCCTGGCTAATTTTTTTTATTTTTAGTAGAGATGGGGTTTCACCATGTTGGCCAGGTTGGTCTCGAACTCCTGACCTCAGGTGATCCACCTGCCTCCACCTCCCAAAGTGCTGGGATTACAGGTGTGAGCCACCACACCCAGCCTATAATCTCATTTAAGAATAAGGACTGTTGCCCAGGCGCAGTGGCTCACGCTTGTAATCCCGGCACTTTAGGAGACCAAGGCAGGCAGATCACCTCAGGTGTGAGGTCAGAGTTCGAGACCTCACAGGCGCATGCCTGTAATCCCAGTTACTCAGGAGGCTGAGGCAGGAGAATTGCTTGAACTCTGGGAGGCGGAGGTTGCGGTGACCCGAGATCGTGCCATTGCACTCCAGCCTGGGCAACAAGAGTGAAACTCCGTCTCAAAAAAAATAATTAGGACTGTCATGTTTCACCTGTGTGAGAACAGATGCGTAGGAAGTGCTTGGTAAACCCAGTACGTGCTTGATGGCATTTGTTGCATTACTGGAACATTGATTTGAGAAAGAACCTCCCCGGGGAGGCCACTTTGGAACAGGAAGTGGGCCTTGGGGCCACTTTCCCTTCGTCCAGCCCCCAACTAGTCCTCCCTAAGCCTACTCTTTCTGCTGGAAACCTTTCATTTCTGCCCCTCCTCAAGGAGTCAGAACTTTTTTGCTGGAATCCCTGGCAACAGGAGGTGAAACAGACTTCCTTACTTGATGTAGTTTTCACAGAGTCGGTGGAAATTCTCCCTCTCCGCATCACACTTGAGGTCATCAAAGAGCTTGCTGAGGAGAATGGAGGCACTCATGCGGCTGTTCGCGGTCACTGTAAGCTCCCCAGGAGGGTCCTGTAGAGAGCCCCCAACTTCCAAAATCTTTTTCAGACCTGAAAAGACACCCCATTTAGAAATTAGAACACTAGTTACAACCCCTACAAGTAAAAGGAAGAGGCTTCCTAGGAGATGTGGAGAAAAGCAAGACAAGAAGGCTACAGAGTTCTGACAACTGCGTCTAGGGCAGCCCAGAGAATCTGCTTAGCTGATCTGCTGCCTAAGGGAGGCAGCTATAGGATCGGGAAGGACCTCAGAAGTGAGGCCTGCATGCCAACCCTGCCCCTGGGGCCAAATGCTCTGGAGCTTTGAGGTTCCTCATCTGTAAAACTAAGGGGAAAGGAATATCCACACCTCATAGGATCATTGTGAACACAATATCCACACCTCACAGGATCATTGTGAAAGGCCCTGCTCATGCAGGGCCTTTGCAGAGCTTTTCTTTATTTATCTTTTTTTTTTTTTTTTTTTTTTGAGAACAGTCTCCGCCCTGTTGCCCAGGCTGGAGTGCAATGGCACGATCTCAGTTCACTGCAACCTCCGCCTCCTGGGTTCAAGCGATTCTCCTGCCTCAGCCTCTCAGAGTAGCTGGGATTACAGGTGCGTGCCACCAGTGCCCGGCTAATTTTTTGTATCTTTAGTAGAGATGGGGTTTCACCATGTTGGCAGGTGGTCTCAAACTCCTGATCTCATGGTCTGCCCACCCGGCCTTCCAAAGTGCTGCGATTATAGGCACGAAGCGCCCGCACCCACTCTTATTTATGTTTTAAGGGGGAACAAGAGAGATGAATTGATATACTCTAGACCCTTTATTTTTTCCTCTAAGTATGGAAGTAATACATGCTCACTAAAAAAAAAAAAAAAAAAAAAAAACAGGGGCCAGGTGCAATGGCTCATGACTGTAATCGCAACACTTTGGGACACCAAGGTGGGTGGATTGTTTGAGGTCAGGAGTTCGAGACCAGCCTGGCCAATATGGTGAGATTCCATCTCTACTAAAAATACAAGAATTAGCAGGGCATACTGATGTGTGCCTGTAATGCCAGCTACTCGGGAGGCTCAGGCAGGAGAATTGCTTGAACCTGGGAAACGGAGGCTGCAGTGAACTGAGATCGTGCCACTGTACTCCAGCCTGGGCGACAGAGTGAGACTCCATCTCAAAACAAAAAAAGATACAGAAAGCTAATCCAGCCTCTCTGCTAACCTGCTTGCAGGCCCATTCAATGTGCATGTATCTGCACACACATATGATAGAAGAGTCTAACTTTGAGCCCCCTAAGGGTAGCTCCTATGTCTAGTAGGTGTTGCAAGAGCTGAATCCCATTGCTCTGGAAGATCTTCTCAGTTCCAGCATCCTCCTGGGCCAAAGGACGCACTTCAGTGCAGACACATGGCTGGAGATAATCACAACTTTTCTTCCTTTTTTTTTTTTTTTTTGAGACAGGGTCTCCCTCTGTTGCCCAGGCTGTACTGCAGTGATGCAATCATAGCTCACTGAAGCCTTGACCTCCCAGGGTTAAGTAATTCTCCCACCTCAGTCTCTGGAGTAGCTAGGACTGCAGACGCACACCACCACGCCCAGCTAATTTTTTTAATTTTTCATAGAGACAGGGTCTTGCTATGTTGCCCAGGCTAATCTCAAACTCCTGGCTTCAAGTGACCCCCTGCCTCCCAAAGTGCATCATCCACCATGCCTGGCCCCACTCACAACTTTTCTTACTACTCCTAAGGATAAACAAACTTCAGCTGCCCAAGCAAGTTTTTGTGAACTATTTCACCTACCTTGGTCAATGACCCAGAGGGTGAGGCTGTTGTTGGGGTCCTTGAGAGACTTCCGGGGCACTGCTTTAATCAGGAGGGTCAGGGCATTGTCTCGGCCTTGGCCAGAGACCCCCACCTCTGTCAGCAGATCTAAGAGGTTACTGATGAGGACCTTCAGCTCCCGGGCAGGATCTGGCAACAAGAAGACATCAGTGGGCTCCACAGCAGCCCAGCCCTGTTTGACCCTTGAACTTCAACAAACCAGGAAGACACAGGGAAGGGGGGATCCACATCCCAGGCTCCAGACTGAGCTCCAGCTTTGTCCTGAGACACCTTGGCTGCTGAAAATCTAGAGTAAAATAATGTCACCAAACTGTATTCCAAACAACCTGCAGCTCCAATTCTAGTCCCCAAAAAACTGGCCTGGCTGGCTCAGCCCCATCCCTTCCATGACAGTAACATCCAAAAGACCCCAGACCTGCTTCCACTCACCCACGATGATGGCGCCTTCTTTGCCTTGGAATCCTTTTTTGACACCTTCCTTGAGGGCATCAAACATAACCTGCAGTAGGTGGCAGGCAGCCAGGGACACAGCCTGGTTTTCCACACCCAGGATGGAGACTACTCGCCGAGTTCCCAGTATGCTCAGGGTTGCCACTGTCTGCGGTGGGAGAGGTGGACAGAAACTTCCAGTTGGTCAAGGGCAGCCACAGATATCCCTAACTGTAAGTTAGAGAATATGGCCAGAAGGAGAGAATTGGGTGGAAGGCCCAGCTCCAGGTGAAACCAAGACAGAACAGATGGCATGACCCAGGGTAATGGCAGGATAATTTTGTTAGAAAGACTTCCTAAAGGAAACATTCCAGAGCAATGCCCTACTACCTCTCCTTGGCGCCAGAGAAGACACAGTATACTGTGGCCCTGGGAGCAGTTGCTTTAGCTCATGTCTCCCCAAGAAAAAGACCTAAACCTAGACAAAGCTACCTGACCACAAGGCTTAATGGTCTAGTTCTTCCCCAGTCTAAACCCTGAGGTTCTTTCCACACCCTGGGGATGTGGATTTCCACACCCTGGGGATGTGAATGTGCACGGAATGGGCCCATGAGACCTCTCCACCCCGTTTCTAAGCTGGAGAACCCTAGAAGGCCTGCTTGGTCCACTGAGCCCTGATCCTGACTGCTTCCACTTAGCAGCTGAGTGTCCTTGGCCAAGACTGTGAACTGGGATGGACCAGAAGGCAGGAGGGAACAGAATGCATATGCTTTTACCAATCTTAGCCTTGTGAGACCCAGAATGCAGCCCAAGCTCAGCCTAAAGAGATTTCAGTGACTATTTCACAGTTCCACTCCTATCTAGGAATTGTGGGCTCCCCTAAAAGCAACCAAGGGTCTAGTCTTTGGTTCCCTCTCCCCTGGAGCAAGCCAGCTCAGGTAAGAGGGGGACGTGGACTTCACCACACTGGTCCAGGAGCAGGACTGCTCTTGCTGAACTGTCCATGCTGGGCCACCACCATCCGTGCTGAGAATCATGTTGGGGCCAAGCCCTACGTGTCTGGTCACTGTCTCAATGGTAAAGAGATGCTGCGGTGGCCAGGCGCAGTGACTCACGCCTGCAATCCCAACACTTTGGGAGGCCGAGACAGGCGGATCACAGGGTCAGGAGATCAAAACCATCCTGGCTAACACGGTGAAACCCCGTCTCTACTAAAAATACACAAAAATTAGCCGGGCGTGGTGGCGGATGCCTGTAGTCCCAGCTACTCGGCAGGCTGAGGCAGGAGAATGGTGTGAACCCAGAAGGCGGAGCTTGCAATGAGCGGAGATTGTACCACTACACTCCAGCCTGGGCGACAGAGTGAGCCTCCATCTCAAAAAAAAAAAAAAAAAAGATGCTGTGGTGACATCGCTGACCACATCACTCACTATGAGGACTCTCTGCTCCAGAGGAAATGACAATTTGATCTTTAGAGCAAGGACAAGTGCCCTTTTCTGGGCAATGAGCTTGCTTGTGCCATATGGACATTGAAGGAGTCAATGACCAATGTGTTTTTGGGAGTTGGCTGCAGGAAAGCTGGGGCTCACACTTGTAAGCCCCCCACAAAGCAAGTGCTTGGGGTACCCCAGGACTGTTTTTGCTCTTGCTAGCCCCACTTCATCCTAATTTATGTTGGTCTTTTTCACCCCATTTTTATTTTTTCTCTCTTGTTACACGTATTTCCTTGTACTCTGCCTTAAGTTATTTTCGTTTGTTTGTTTTTTTTGAGATAGTGTCGCTCTGTCACCCAGGCTGGAGTGCAGTGGCATCATCTCGGCTCACTGCAACCTCCACCTCCTGAGTTCAAGCAATTCTCGTGCCTCAGCCTCCTGACTAGCTGGGATTGCAGGCGCACACCACCACGCCTGGCTAATTTTTTTATTTTTAGCAGAGATGGGGTTTCTCCATGTCCCCCAGGCTGGTCTTGAAACCTCAAGTGATCCACCTGCCTCAGCCTCCCAAAGTGCTGGGATTACAGGTGTGAGGCACCATGACTGGCCTAAGGTCTTTTTAGAATAAGATAAGGGGTAGAGGGTGGGTGGAAGAGTGGATGGATGGATGGATGGGTAGATGAGTGGATGGGCAGATGAGCAGATAGGTGGACGGAGGGACGGACGGACAGACAAAGGGACTGAAGCAGTAACCAGCCTCTCCACTCCACCTACCCGTGACTGATGCTCAGAGCAAATGCCAACCAGTGTACGCAGAGCTGCCAGCATGAGGTCAGTCTCTCCCGTGTCCAGCAGACGTTGCAAGAGCTGAACCCCATTGCTCCGGAAGATCTTCTCTGCTCCAGCATCCTCCCTGGCCAGCACCACCAGGTTCTGAGAAGCCTACATCAAAGGAAGTACATTATAATGTTGACACTGCACGTGGCATAGGACGCAGCACTGGTGAGCAGGGGCCCTGAGCCCCAGACCTCACTGCTTCCACTTCACAGTTGAATGATCATGGCCAAAAAATAACCTCTTTGAAGTTTATCCTCTGTAAGTAGAGGGAAGAGCCTTCTCTCAGAATTGATGGTTAGAGCAAATGAGTCCCCAGCACAGCCTGAGGGGCTGGGACAGTGCCTCGGTTACCTCCGTACACCCAGCTCCTGGCACAGGGCTTGGCCAGCAAGGCACTCTGTGAACTCCTTGGTTCACGCTAAAGCCCCAGACCCTCAGACCTCCCATCCAGGCCCCATGAGCCCAGCTGCATGATTGGAGGAGCTGCAGAGCAGGGCAGCAGGGGATTCTGGGGCCTACATGGGTGAAGGGTACTATGGATGGGTGGCTCTTGTGGGAGCTCACTTACTGACTCAGCCCGGGGCCTATACCTTTTGCTTTTTCTCAGTGCCCTTCTCTTCTGGGTCCAACAGTATTTGAAACATCTGTTCCACTTTGGCATCCGTCGAGGACATGTATCGCACCTAGACAAACCAACAAAGCATGGAAGAAATCATGGCTCTTGGCCAGAGACATCATATTCCCTATTCATTTGTCTCTGGCTCCTCACTGTGGGAGGCACAGTGAAGATGTCTAGGCTCAGGGCTAGCACCTAGCTACCCTGGGCAGGAAGAGACATGCCTGGCAGTGCCTCCTAAATTTCCCGCAGTTGTTTTTCTTTCTGAGTGATTTCCTGCTTGGGCAGCAGGGGAAGCGCCCATGCTGCAGTGCCTTTCGGGAGGGGAGGCATCCTGTCAGCTACAAAGCAACCCACTCACAGTGGTGCCATCTACGTTGTGGCAGTGTGAATGGGCTGCCCATGGCACTGAACTAAGCATTTATAACTCCTGCCAGGGAGCTGGCAGATTGTGAGGTAGTTGCTAACACTTCCTTTAGCTCCAGAAATCTCTTTGGACTGTTTTAAAAATAATCTGAGCTGGGCACAGTGGCTCACGCCTGTAATCCCAAAACTTTGGGAGGCCGAGGCAGGCGGATCACCTGAGGTCAGGAGTTCGAGACTAGCCTGGCCAACATGGTGAAACCCCGTCTCTACTAAAAATACAAAAATTAGCTGGGTGTGGTGGCAGACGCCTGTAATCCCAGCTACTCAGGAGGCTGAAGCAGGAGAATCGCTTGAACCTGGGAGGCAGAGGTTGCAGAGAGCAGAGATCCTGCCACTGCTCTCCAGCCTGGGTGACAGGGTGAGACTCTGTCTCAATAATAATAATTATCTGAATGGGCAAGATCATTCTAGGCCTACCCCCACCCCCCAGAGTCCTGGGCATAGATGGTGGCACAAGCCTAGCATGTGGGCCACCTGCCTTTCTCTCTCTCACCCATGGCAGCCATGACTAACCAGTCATGGCATGTTCCCCGGCTCAGCTCAGGCAATCTGCTTCCTAATTCTTCTCAACATAGGATTCTGGGCAGCCACTGCCAATCAGAGTTGGCACTGAGAGAGAAAACCTATTTGCTTTCCCAGGTTTCAACATTTCAGTGAGGTGTCTGCCATCATGTTATCTGCTTCCACTGTGTCAGCATTTTAACATCAAATTATCTGGTGAATTTGAGCTTGGTTATAGTTCATAATGGTCTTTAGATTCTTTTCTCCTAATTTAAAAACATATATATTTTATATAACTTCTCTTTATTAAAAAAATATGAACAGGTGATGCAGTCTCCTTTGGAAAGTCCTCTCAATCCCATTCCTTTCCCCAGGGGTTGCAATGTTATCATTTTGATGTATATCTTTTAAAATATTTTCCTAGGCCTGACATGGTGGCTCATGCCTGTAATCCCAGCACTTTGGGAGGCCTAGGCGGGCAGATCACCTGAGGTCAGGAGTTCGAGACTAGCCTGGCCAACATGGTGAAACCCTGTCTCTACTAAAAATACAAAAATTAGCTGGGTGTGGTGGCAGACGCCTGTAATCCCAGCTACTCAGGAGGCTGAAGCAGGAGAATCGCTTGAACCTGGGAGGCAGAGGTTGCAGTGAGCTGAGATCACGCCACTGCACTCCAGCCTGGGCAACACAGCAAGACTCCGTCTCAAAAAAAAAAATAAATAAAATAAAATATTTTCCTGAAAAAATAAAGAAACAAAAATGCATATTTGGCCCGGTGCCATGGCTCACACCTATAATCCCAGCAAGTTGGGAGGCTGAGGTGGGTAGATCCCTTGAGCCCAGGAGCTCAAGACCAGCTACCTGGGCAACACAGTAAAACCCTGTCTCTACCAAAAATATAAAAATTAGGAGAGCGTGGTGACACGCATTGTCCCAGCTACTTGGGAGGCTGAGGTGGGAGGATCGCTTGAGCCTGGGAGGCAGAGGTTGTACTCCAGCATGGGTGACAGAGTGAGACCCTGTCTCAAAATACATAAACAAAAAAATAAAAATAAAAATAAATTTTAAAAATAAAATATTTTCAGCTGGGTGCAGTGGCTCACACCTATAATCCCAGCACTTTGGGAGGCCGAGGTGGGCAGATCACGAGGTCAGGGGCTCCAGACCATCCTGGCCAACATGGTGAAACCCCGTCTCTACTAAAAATACGAAAGAATTAGCCGGGTATGGTGGCAGGCACCTGTAGTCCCAGTTACTCTGGAGGCTGAGGCAGGAGAATGGCGTAAACCCAGGAGGCAGAGCTTGCAGTGAGCTGAGATCACGCCACTGCACTCCAGCCTGGGCAACACAGCAAGACTCCGTTTCAAAAAATAAATAAATAAATACATAAATAAATTAAATTAAATATTTTCCTTTGTATTTACATACCCAAGTGTACCCACAGAAAAAATATAGCATTATTTTGCTATGCAGGGGATCATTAACATAAATGATATAATACTATATGTGTTATCATATATTTTTCTTCTTTTCTTTTTCAAAAGAGACAGGGCCTCACTCTGTCATCCAGGCTGGAGTGCAGTGACACGATCATAGCTCACTGTAACTGCAAAATCCAGGGCTCAAAGGATTCTCCTGCCTCAGCCTCACAAGTAGCTGGGACTACAAGGGTGTGCCAACACACCCAGCTAACTTTTTAAGTTTTGGTAGCAACAGGGTCTCACTATGCTGCCCAGGCTGGTGTCAAACTCCTAGCCTCAAGTGATCGTCCCGTCTTGGCCTCCCAAAGCACTGGGATTACAGGCATGAGACAGCATGCCCTGCCTATTTTGCTTTGTTTATTCAACAAGTGTCCCAGAGCTTTCCATTTCAATATGTGTGTATCTACCCATTCTCAGTAACTATATAAGAGTCTCTAGTAAGGACATTACCCAATTTATTCAGCCATTCCTCTATGGCTGGGCATTTAGGCAAGTTCCAAGCTTTTACTACAAAAAAGGCTGAAATAAACATACACATGTCTACTTGTGCATGTGGGCAAGGTTTCTGTGAGAGAAACAGCAAGAAGTAAACATATGGGATCAAAAGATACGCTCATTTCAAATTTGATATGCTAAAGTACTCTCCAAAAGAGCTGTACCAGCCTCACCACTGATATGTCTGCCTCTCTCCTTCTTGAAAAGTATACAAACTTTTAAATGTCTGCCAAACAGACCTCCAAATCAACAGTAACACGCTGTCATCTTAATTTGCTTTTCCCTGGCCACAGGCAAGGTTAACCAGAATTCTATATGTTCACTTGCCATCAGTATCTCTTGTCTGGAGAACTGTGTCTGCACCCCTGGCCCAGATCCCTTCACCACCACCGGTCAAGCTTCCACCTCTCTGGGTCACTCACATACCTTCTCCTGAATCTGGCCCCCGATGTTCCGCAAGGCCTCCTGGAAAACTTTGTTCTTGGGCTCCAAGCTCACACATCTCTGCAGGTCAAGGACAGCCTGGTCGAGGCGGCCCAGCTTCTCTAGGGCTTGGCTCCGCCGGTAGAGTGCTTTGACATCCCCACCATCCTTTTCAATGGCTGAGCACAAACAGGAGCGCTGTCAGCACCCATGAGGCCACCATCTCCAGGCAAGAGCAGTAGGGAAAGATCTCGAGGAAAGGCCAGAAGAAGGTAGGGGGACGAATGTGGGGCTCGGTGCTTCAGCCTCAGAAAAGGTGAGGGTAGCTGCAGAAAAGGAAAGGCCCGAGGCAGTGGGAAAGAAAGAAGGCAGATGTGTCTCTGGGGCCAAAGGAGGAGAATGTGATGGTGCAGCGGTCCCAGAGTCCTTGCCCACCACAGAAGCCCTACAGCTCCACACGAGGGTCCACCATTCCCCTACCTTTGGATGCCTCTGTTTCTGCTTTGTCGTAATCTTCCTGTAAGAGAAAGACAGGAGCCTGAAAGAATGGTCATCTCCCTTTCGGGGCACTAACCAGGCAGCAGGGGTACTCTCGCTGTCCAAGGTCACCCGATCCCCCTTCACGCTGAGGTGCAAAAGACATCTGGCAAGCGGGGATGGCCTGGGAGCTTGAATTCCCAGCTGGGGCCCAAGCATCAGCTGAGATGGGCGAACCGGGGCCCGGCAGGCAAGGGGAAGAGCGCCAGGCTCCCTCACCAGCTTGAGGTGGCAGGCGGCCCGGTTCCGGTGCAGAATGGCCTGGTCCTGGGGCGTCGCGTCCAGACCCAGGGCCTGAGTGTAGGCCCCCAGGGCGCCCTCGTAGTCTCCACATTTGAACAGCTCGTTGCCCTCTTTCCGCAGCTGCTCCACTGAGCTGGCCTGTAGAGAGAAAGGGGGCGGAAACGTCGGAGGGGGTTCGGGGCAGAGCCCTGGAGAAGAGGAGGGATAGGCACGAGCCTCATGGATGGGGAGAAGGAGGCCTGGAATGGTCAGGGCGGGTGCGAAGGGGTGATGGCGCGGGGATTGGGTACGCACCCCGGAGGTGGCCGGCCGGGGCTCGGGGGTCCCTGGACCACTCACAGTCATCGCGGAGAGGTTGTCCCGTGCCCGCGCAGGCGCAGTCTCTGGGGAGGGACGAGTCTGGCTCCGGACGCTGCCGGGAGCTGCCCCGCCCCACTCTTGCGTCGGAGGTGGAGTCAGAGAGGGGCAGGGGCGGGGCACTCGACTCTGGATCGCAGGTGCAGGCAAGCTCCGGGCGCGCCTAAGCTGTCCCCGCGGAGACCTGCAGGGAGTTCACGGCGGAGGACCCAGAGGGAGGCCTGCGGTGGCTCCAGCCCCGACCCCGGCCCTGATCGCAGCAGAAGTGCACAAGGTCTGCGGTCATCAGGGTCACAACCAGTAGGCTGTAGAGGCCCAGCACTAGGAGTTGTCCTGGGCCCCTGCGGGAGAGAAAAAAGTATCTGGATCCCGGCCCTGGCCACGCTCTGGCTGCTGCGCTCTGTGGGCGTACAGAACCCCTGGGAGTCCGGAGAAAGCTCGGGACTCCATCCCCAAATAAGTGTAGTCTTACATACACACATTTGCATACGAATTTAGGAGCTCATCCTAGAGCCACCCATGGGCAGATTCAGGATGGCTCCCCATTACCCGCTTGCACAGCCCCCTGAACTTCTCCCTTGTAATTGTAATCATGATCTACATGATTTTCTGTTGCGGTCTGTCCCTTCACTAGTCTGTAAGTTACAAGCCTCCCACCCCATAATTTAGGAACAGAGCCCCAGATATTGGAACACCCTGACGATGTTCCAGTGGCTCCGGGGTTGGAGATCTCACCTGAGGATGGGCGGGGGCGGAAGAGCGGACAGGTTGACTTGGTACAGGGCCTCAAATACAGCCCGGGTGCAGCAGGAGCCCCCTGCAGCCTGCAGGTGGCAGCAGTAGGCTTCCTCTGGAGAATCAGAGAGACGAGGGCAAAAGAAACCAGGGTAGTGGTGGCCATTGACATCCCGGGTGGTCTGGCACAAGTGAGGGTGGTGGACCACAGCTGAAGAGAGAGGTTGGGGGGCTAGAAATAAGCAGGAGGGATCTTTCCACAGCCCACTCCACCCCTACTGGAGAGTAAAAGAGATCAGCCCCTACCGGAAGAGCAGGCGCCCTTCCATTCATCCCCATCAGTTCCAGTTCCCAGGAATAGCCCATAGCACGATAGGCAGGTGGGCCACAGGGGTAAGTGCTGTACCTGAGAGAGAGGTTGACTGGACAAGGGTCACCCAGCTGAAGAGCAGCAGTAGCCCCACGGATAGGCCTGTCAGCAAGGGGCCTGACCTTCTTCTCCAGACGCCCATGAGATTTCACAACCACCTCTGTCCTGGTCCTGGGAACTCTAACATCTCTCTTTCTAGGCCATGACTGCATAAATAAGGAAATAAAAATCAAAGCCCCAAGGCCCTCAGGCACCATTAATACAAGTCTGAAGCTTCTCTATCACAGGCTTTTAGAGAGAGATGACAGGGACTGGGTTTCTATCTCCTGTTGGAAAACGTGGGGCCTGCATTGCCAAACTGCTGAAGGAGAGAAGGCTCAAAGGACTAGAGGACAGAATGAGGGATGACAGAGCAGCTGAGCCATTAGTATGAAGAACAAACAAGCATTTAGAGCCAAATATGTTTTTACCCATTCTCCAACTTCCAGGCTGCCACGGAAGCTCTGGGAATTCCGACCCTTCTATTTCAGGTCCCAAAGACCTCACTTCCAGCATGTGGGGTTTCCCTCCCTAACCTCTGCTACATGGCAACCACCAAGACTAGCTGAAAACCAAGGGTGAGTCCTTTATTAGCTTTTCCCCTGGGCCTCATCTGCCCCAGCTACCAGCCAGAACACAAAAGCTACCTGTCTAATTAGAGTATACTTAGCTAATAGGGAACCCCCTCTCACAGAGGAGTTCCATAGGGACCATCAGGTCTCTCTTACCCCTCAGCTGCCCTAAGACAGGGAATTTCTCTGGAAGGCTCAAGGCCACCAGCCAGCAGAATTAAGTGTTATACCAGTGCCTACCCAAGCCTGACAACATCATGCTCCCAGAACACCAATAACAACACTCATCACCCCAGGGGCCCACAGAAGGTGCCTAGAGACTGAAATAGGAGCTCTCATGGCTTAAGGAGGCAATGCGAATTTCATCTGCAACACTGAGAACAAAGGCAGTTCCTGCAGAAACGTCACAGCTACCTGGGAGCCTAAGTCTGAAGCAATTAGGCAGGGCTCCCAGTGAAGGCTCTGATTTTTCAGGTCAGGCCCTAGGGTCTCCTGGGTCCAAAGGTGAGGCTCCCCCGCCCACAGAACCTGGCCCATCCCTGCAGGGAGAACTATTTTTAGAACACTTGGAGAGTTTTCAGAGCTTTGACAGGTTGAAGATTGTTCATGGGGGGAGCTTCTGGGAGAAGCTGTCTCTGACTCTGAGGGTAGGTGGATTGTCCTTTCTTCCCGCTCCCATAGTCCCCTGAGCCTTCCCACCCTGGATTCAGCGCACTGTGAGACCACTGCCTTATTTCTTGTCTGTCTTCCTCTTTTCCACAGACGGTGGGCTCCCAGAGAGCCAGGCTTATGTTCTTTTTGCACCTCCAACAGAGTACATTGAGCTGGCGGCTGTGATGCTGAAGGCAGCTTTCCCCATCGCTTGCTCTCTGCGCCGGGGCATGTCAGCTCTAGAGGAATTCATCTGGGGCAGGCCCAATACAGCCCGCTGAATTAGCCTCCACGATCCCCGGGCCTCCCCGGCGCCAGGGGGCGCTGTAAACATTCCGTCCTGGCCCCCGCTGCCGCCGTCGCCCGCCCCATCCGCGCGATGGGCTCCGAGGCCGCCCAGCTGCTGGAGGCTGCCGACTTCGCTGCTCGCAAGCACCGGCAGCAGCGGCGGAAGGACCCCGAAGGGACCCCCTACATCAACCACCCCATCGGTGGGCTCGTCGGCCGCGGAGCACCGGCTGCGGCACCGGGGGTGGGGACTGGGAAGGATACGTGGGGTGCGTGCACCTCATTGAGCACCTATTTTGTCCCAAGCTTAGTGCGATATACCGTTTAAGCCTCGTAACAACTGGAGCGGTAGGCATGATCGTTCCCTTTGTCGGTTGACACCCAGAGGGTGAGGGACTTGACCAAGGTCACCCAGCTAGTGAGAGGCCAGGAGGGGCCACATCTGACTCTCCAAAACCCACAACACACCGCCTTGGAGCTATCTCCGACCTGACTTCCTGCTTTGCCCCTCCCCATCAGGTGTGGCTCGGATCCTGACCCACGAGGCGGGAATCACTGACATTGTGGTGTTACAGGTAACTTTCCCCTTTCTCTGCCAGGAGACTGGGATGGGGATCAGGGGCCCCATTCAGCAATGGGCATCCCTTCGCTGACATCTCAGGGCTAAGTGGGAACTTGTCCCCAGGCGGCCCTGCTCCATGACACGGTGGAGGACACAGACACCACCCTGGATGAGGTGGAGCTACACTTTGGGACACAGGTGCGGCGCCTGGTGGAGGAGGTAACAGATGACAAGACCCTGCCCAAGCTGGAGAGAAAGCGGCTGCAGGTGGAGCAAGCGCCCCACAGTAGCCCCGGGGCCAAACTGGTGAAACTGGCAGACAAGCTGTACAATCTGAGGGACCTGAATCGCTGCACCCCAGAGGGTACGCTTTCCTATGGGCTCTAAGGGAAAGGGTAGGGGGGTGCCGCCTTCTGAAGACACAGGTTGATCAGTTCCCCTGAAAAACCCTGGGCATTCTTAATTCCCAAATTAATCCTACTGGACCACTATTTACTCTTCTTTCATACGGTAAAAATACAATAACTGGGCCAAGGGGAAGTTTTCAGGACAGCTCATCCCATCAGGAACTCATGGCCTTGAACCAGGCTTGCCAGGAAGTGGGGAAAAGGCAGTGCTTTCCTTGACATCACGCTAGCAAGTTTCTGTCGACTCTTACGCAGGATGGTCAGAACATCGAGTCCAGGAATACTTCGAGTGGGCAGCGCAAGTAGTGAAGGGGCTTCAGGGAACAAACCGGCAACTGGAAGAGGCGCTAAAGCATCTGTTCAAGGAGCGGGGGCTGACACTCTGATCAGTGCTTGAAGCTGTCCAGAGGCACAACTCCAGCCTCATTCAGGCCGGACAGGATTCATACACCATCTTTTCTGTGCCTCCCGAACTCCCTCCATCCTTCCCAGATACTACAGGCCAAAAAAAGACTTGCATTTTTTCTTAATCTGAAGATCTCCTACTAACTAAGCTGAGCCCCGCGTGTGGGAATCAGATGTACCCATCCATTTGTGATGCACTCACTGCCTCTCCCCAAGTCTTGGGTCTGTTTGCTATTTTGCATGATGGGATCTCTGGCCCCTCAAGGACTTGAGATTATATAAGTACTAGTTCCTAAGACGTTATGGAAAATAAAAACTCTGGGTTAAGGTTTAAGCTGCTGCTGCTGCTTCTCCAGCCTCTGAATGGGGGACTGTTAGGCTGCATATCTGTCCTCCAGCAAAGCAGGACTAATTGTGTGTCCCTGAGTCACCTCCCTCAGGTTGGGGGCCTCAACCCCTCCAAACCTGGCTTCCTTATCAGTGAGATGGGTTGTGTAATTATCAGGTTAGACTGTGACGTGCCTCATGGAGCCTGATACATACGTGCTCAAGAAATGGTAGCACCCTTCCTCGCTAAAAAAGTTGGAAGGGGGCCGGGCGCGGCGTCTTTCGCCTGTAATCCCAGCACTTTGGGAGGCCGAGGCGGATGGATCACTTGAGGTCAGGAGTTCAAGACCAGCCTGGCCAACATGGCAAGGTCCCATCTCTACTAAAAATACAAAAACAAATTAGCCGGGCGCAGTGGCTCGCGCCTGTAATACCAGCTACTCAGGAGGCTGAGGCAGGAGAATCGCTTCAACCCGGGAGGTAGAGGTTGTAGTGAGCCGAGATCGTGCCACTGCACTCCAGCTTGGGCGACAGAGCGAGAATCCATAAAAAAAAAAAAAAAAGAAAAGACCTATTGGAAGGGAGTGCCACCCGCTTACTGACAACATTGCTGGGCACGGGAGAGACCCCAGCAACAACATCATTGGGCCGGTGGGGCACTGCGGTTCCCCAGTACCTCAAGCCGCGCCGGAAACTCGGTGACTCGCAATCCCCTCGCCCTTCCGCATTGCGGGTTACTTTGGTTGCTAAGCGAGAGGGACTTCCGGGAAGGCCCGGAAGTGGCCCGGGGCTGTCCGAACCCGGGAGCTCGGCAGTAGGCGGAGTATAGGGGAGGTGGTGGAATTTTGCTCAGTGGCCATGGGGAGGGATTGCCCGCTGGTGGTTTTTTTAGTCGTTGCTGAGCAGCTGAGGTTTATTTTTATTTATTTTTTTCTGCATCCAGTCATCCATTAAAGCAAAGTTTATTAAGTTGTCTGGAAAAGCGATCATCTTCGGTACGAAGAAATTGTTAGGTCAAAGCTGTTCCACTACGTTAGTTGTTTGCCCAAGTGAAGGCCCCAACGGAGGGCTCTGGGAAAAAGTAGGTGAAAGGCAACCAAAAAAGCCGAATTAAAACAAAACAAATGAACAAAGTTCAGTGTAATCCCCAGGGTATGGTACATTTTGGAGAACTTTGTACTTAATTTTTTTTAATTAGTTTTGCGGGAGTAGGATTACAATTTTTTTTGTTACAAAAGATGGCTTTGTTGTAGTCCACTTTATATATTTTGTTGCCCGTGTTTTTAGTGTCATAGCTAAAAAATTCTTGCCAAATCTAATGCCATGAAGTTTTTCCCGTTTTCTTCTAGGAGCTTTATCGTTTTAGTTTTTTGGTTTGGTTTTTTGTTTTGTTTTGTTTTGTTTTGTTTTGTTTTTTTGCTTTGTTTTTTGAAACAGAGTTTCGCTCTTGTTGCCCAGGCTGGAGTGCAATGGCGCGATCTCGGCTCACCACAACCTCCGCCTCCGGGATTCAAGCGATTCTCCTGCCTCAGCCTCCCGAGTAGCTGGGATTACAGGCGTGTGCCACCACGCTTGGCTAATTTTTGTATTTTTAGTAGAGATGGGGTTTCGCCATGCTGGCCAGGCTGGTCTTTAAGTCCTGACCTCAGGTGACCCACCTGCCTTGGCCTCCCAAAGTTACCGTTTTACCTTTTAAAGGTAAAGTCTTTGATCCATTTTGGGTTACATTTCTTTTTAAATCGATTTAATTTGGCATAAGGTATACAACATGATATTATGAGGCTACATACAGGTAGTAAAAAGATTACTATAGTGAAGCAAATTAACACATCTATCATTTCACGTAGTAACCCAATTTTTTGTTTTTGTGGCAAAAACATTTTGGGTTAATTTTTGTATATGGTGTAATTTTTTGTATATACACCGTATACAAAATATATGATGTATGGTTTTGCTTGTGGATGTCCAGTTTTTCTAGCACCATATGTTGCAAGGTCTGTCATCTTAGTACCTGTTTTTGGATTTTTTTATTTTTTATTTTTTAGTAGAGATGGCATTCTACTATGTTGGCCACGCTGGTTTTGAACTCCTGACCTCAAGTGATCCGCCCACCTCAGCCTCCCAAAGTGCTGGGATTACAGGCCTGAGCCACTGTGCCCGCCTGAATTTTCTGTTTGTTTTTGAGACAGTCTTGCTCTGTCGCCCAGGCTGGAGTGCAGTGGCACAATCTCATTATTAACAGATAGTATTTTATGTGTGCATTCTGTTTGACAATTAGTTGTTCATTTTTCACCACACCAGAAATAGCGCTGCAGTGCAACATTCCCATATGTTTCTTTGGTGCATGTGACACAAGAGAATGCTGGTAATATTTCTGAACAAATAAGAACAGAAGAACCCCGTTGGATAAGTTTTTGTTCTTTTTTTTTTTTTTTTTGAGAACGTTCGCCCACTATTGCCCAGGCTGGAGTGCAGTGGGCACAATCTGGGCTTACTGCAACCTCTGCGCTCCCGGGTTCACAGATATCTCTTCTACTCAGGGCCTCCCCTGAATAGCTGGACGATACAGGCTGTGCGCCACCACGCCCAGCTAATTTTTTGTATTTTTAGTAGAGATGGGGTTATCACATGTGTGCCAGGCTAGGTTCTCGGAATTCCTGACACTCGTGATTTCCTGCCTCGGTCCTCCCAAGGTGCTGGGGATTACAGGCGTGAGCTACCACACCCAGCGCTCGTTGAAGTAACTCGCTTAACAG